GCCGTCCGCGAGTGTAACTTGCGTAGGTTGCGTCTTCCTTCGAACGCGCGGGCCAAGACCTACGCGGGCCATAAAGGCTTGGCTCATAAAGTTGCGAGTCGCTCCGCAATCAATCAAGGCACTACAGGTTGCCTTTCCGATTTGGATGCGGATATAGAGCAAAGGTGCGTCGGTTTCGGCGTACCTTTGGGTGGCGTACTCGCGGTCAATCTTCGCAAGATAGGAGCGGAGATCGACAACCGCTACCCCGTCGTCCGTCAACGGAGCTGGTACTGTAGTGTGCAAATAGGAGCGTAGAGTTGCCATCAAGGCGTTGCAATGCGGCCTTGGCAAGGTTCCGGTCGAGGGTAGAGGCATCCAAACGAAGTCCTCTCTCGTGAGCGGGTCAAGCTCCTCAAGTCTTGACCACGCCGTCGAGTCCTCGGAAATCAGTGGCGAACTGACCGGATCACTTGCCGACAGTTTACAGGATGCGCATATGCTAGCTAAGTGCACGTGGCTTGGTTGGTCTAATGGTGGTACCAGCTGGGCGGCATAATCCTCGTACGTGGCACGAGAATCAGCGACTAACGCATGCTCCCCGGTAGTGACATCGATTGCTAGCAAGGCAACCGGGTCTGGCAGAGTGAGGAGAGACGTCGCCCCTCTCCTTGCGTAACTCAGTTTCCCGAGTTTGCTGGATGGGGTACGCGTGCCTTGCCCTTTTCGGGGCATTGTGCGGTCACATGAGTGACGCCGTTGCCCCAGAGGCAGTATCCGTACTTTTGACGAAGGTCATAGACATCCTTGGTTATCTTGTAAGCCGTCCATGGCTGCTGCCCAGTTCCCGTCGATGCTGTCTCTTGTGTCGCCTTGTTCTTCCGAACTCTCTTGGGACGCTTCGGCGGGAGCGCTGCTACAATTCCTCCACCACTCGAGGATGCTGCTGCAGCGTGGAGATCGTCTGTTTCTTCAGAAATCATGGCATTGTTATGTGCCGGACGTTGATAGCCCTGCTTAGCCACATAATGCGGCTGGGACTGCCGTTCGTTTGCGGCCTTTATTATCATTTTGGATGACTAAGTTCGCACGATCCAGAATGGCCTGGAACGTGTCATAGTCGTACTCGTTGCCGAGTGCCGACCGCAGTCCCGCGCACGATCGCGAGAAGAACTCGGATCGTTGATTTGGAAAACTCAAATCGAATCCTGGCGTGGTCACTATCTTCTGCCACTTGGTTGTCCAGTCTCGAGTTGGCATATTTCCTTGAGAGCAGGTGTACACCTCGTTCATGGCCGCCTTCACGACGTTGCGGACCATGAACCGGGTGAACCATAGCTTCTCGAACTCWTTCCACGTGATGTGTGTGTGGAGGTCGGCGATGGTGCATTTGTTGGTAGCCGCCAGATGGTTCATCCAAGCCTGCGCTCCTCCAATTAGTTGCAAGTAGAGTGCCTTCATCATGTCGTCTGCCGGGACAGTGCGGCATGATGCTTCCGTGAGGAAACGTTGCCACCATGTCAAGGCGTCCGATTTGTTGTAGTCATCGAACTTGCTGATGTCGAAGTGCGGCATCTTGTAAGTCTTTGTAGCGGCGTCCGGACTCGTCTGCAGCTTGGTGATGTCCGTCTTGATGGCGGCCACCGTGCTACTGATCGTGTCCGGCCCATTGAAAACACCTATGTCGCCAATGATGGTGACGACGTGATCGATGCGCTCATTGAGTTGCTTCGTCGCGTCTGTCGTGCAGCCTGGCGCTGCTGAGGCGTTAGCCTCAATGCTGTTGATGCGTGCGAGAGCGGAGTTCAACAGCTGATGTTGTTGCTGCTGCTGCGTTGCTTCGGCGCGGATGGCAGTTGTTAAAACAACAATGTCTAGCTGGTACTTTTGTCGCTGCTGTCGTTCCGTGCGCAGATGTGCCTGCAGCAGTGTGTTATTCCACATGATGCCTCTCATCATGCCCGGCATCAAGTTAGCCAGGTGAGTCCTYTCTGCCTCCGCCGGTGTCGGATCTGCCTGCGCGTCCGAAGGCACAAAGATCATGCCTTGGAGGAACGTTGTCCACTGACTTTCACTATGAATCAGGGACTCCGTACTGGCGGCATTCCATTGGTCTCGTGCCGCTGCGTCAGCCTCAGCAGTCTGCTGAGCTTGAGCTGCTGCCTCATTGGCCAGCCGCCGACGTTCTGCCTCTGCTGCCTCCTGCTGAGCCTTGGCGGCAGCTACGGCATCTGTAAATACCTGTAGCCGCCCAAAATAGTCAGCCAACGGCTCACTGGCCCTTCGGACCGGGCATGCGGGAAGAACTCCGGTGGTGTCCAGTACCGTCAATGATGTACTCGATGCCGCTGGAGTCGTCCGCCTGCTGAGTCTCTGTTGCTGAGCCTTGGTTCGTGGAGGTACCGTAGGTCGAGCACGAACTGCGAGCCTGGCACTGCACCGTGGCAGATCCCCGGTATCCTGTTCCATCGACATCAGTGTGGACTGATGCGGTACTTGAGAGGTCCCGGTGGTCACAGGATACGGGGAGGGTAGGGAGAGTGGGATCAGGGGTAGAACAATCAAACAATACGCATACAGTCCCCTGTCCCACTGATGGACTGTAGACACCTAATCAAACAGAAAATAAATTTTCCGTAAACCATTCAAAAATTTGTAACAAGGAATTAATAACGATTTAATCAATAAAATTAATTAATGATAAATAACGAAATACTCCTAATGATGATCAATAAAACAATGTTTGTAATAAAGATAACCAATAATCATTATTTGCAATAAAGATAATCAATAAACAATAATTGCAATCATAAACGAATTTGAGAGGTATTATGATTAGGTCTCTTTGAGATCACTTTGAGTCCGGGAGTTCACCGTTAATGAGTGAACTACCCGGAAGTTGCAGTTTGAGGGTCAGATACGGCTTAGTGTGCTAAAAAAAAATTCGGAAATTTCAGAAGAAAAAAAAAACGCTTGAATTTTCAAAAACGCAAATTTTCGGGAATTTCCACCGTCAAAATCCGATTTTTAAAAGCCTAAACCTGTTTTCGGAATTTCTCAAACAAGGGGAACGAAAAAAAATTCGCGAAAATTTCGGTCCCAACCCTAATTTTC